AGTAAACACCCTTGGCAGCATGCTTGGAAATCTGTGGCAACAACTTGACAATCAACGGCAGCATGAAATTTGAAACAAACTGATTATTCTGTTGATTCTGCCAATTATTCTCTTGGAAGTTCGCAACAAACCAACAACCTTGCTGCAGTAGTGGAAATAACCACTCAACCTTATCCAGAGAGATTTACTCCAACAACTTTCAACTAATGAAATATCTACCAACATGGATGACACGTGGCATCATTATACTATTTTGCAAAAATGGGTGTAAATAATAACAATTTGAATTCGATCCCTTACAAACTTATCTAAAAAAAATACAAAATGGATCCATGTTCAAAATATAAAAATACAAAATGATTTTGCACCTAAACGACTATAAGCTGTCTAGTAAAGTGCATCCCTTAACTTAAAGGTTGGGATTTAAATCTCACACCTCATAATTGTAAATCCGTTTAAAAAAAATACAAAATGAATCATATTTTATACGTTTAAATAAAGTGCTTAATTATTTATCTTTTAAGTGGTAATACCCATTAGATTTGAGTTTTGATTCTTCTTAGATGACATATTTCCCCATTTTCTTTAGAATATTAAAATTATTTGCAACTTGTTAAAAAAAATACAAAATGGACCCTAAGAAATTCTTATAGCTCAAATGACCACTTATATTATGTAAAAAACTCATATTTTAATAAGAGTATGGGTTCAAATTTCACTCGTATTCAAAAAAAAAAAAAAAAGTCACAAAATGGACCCTACGTGGTTCCATCGATCTAGAGTTCTGCCAACAGTCTCAGAGGGGCATCCCATTAGAGGCAAAGTTGGCGTCCCCTAAGTCTTTGAAATGAATCTGGAAGTTCATGTGGATTGAATTTTTGCTGCTTCACTCTGTCTATTTTCACACACGTACATCCAGTTCATTTAAAAAGGTATTTTTATATATAATTTTAAGTAATACTTTTATATATTATATAAATGACATTTAAAATATATAATTTTTTACATACTTAGTTCTCGCTAAAAAATTCAAATGTGATATTGGATGAGTTCCCTGAATTATTGAATGAATAATAGCTTCAAAATCAACAAAATCATCTCTATTTAATAATTTAAATTATGTAAATTAAATTATAAAATTATTATTTTATTTTTTTTATGGTTAAGGAATACATTGCACTTGGCTACGGTCTGCAGGGGAATTTTTACACATATAAGACACTGCTTTCTAAAATATTTCTAATTAAGGGTATATTTTTTTATTGAACTAATCAAAGTTATCACCTTTAAAAAAATCTCTAAATAAATATATCACATTTTCAATTTTACTATTTAAGAATTAATTGAATATCAATACTGAATTAATAAATGGATTCCATTTATGGGGCTTACTAAATTGTTGATATGTAAAAAAATTGACAGTGGCTGCCCTGACTTGGAGCTGATATGGACAATAAAGAAGAATTCTTAATGAACAGTATCGACACCAAAACATGTAGTGTCGGCACTAAACCTGTGTTGGGAATTATTTGTGACTTCTAAAAAAAATTAATTAAAATTAAGGTAAAATAAATTAGTAAACAAATCTTAAAAAGATTGAAGTAGCGTACAGAATCCTTTTAAAATAGCTTCTTGTTAGTTAAAATAATAATATTTTTATACTAATTTAAATGTTAAAAAATTATAAAAAATTCAAACTCTTACTTTATTTTTTATGATCGATTAAAAGAACTATACAATTTTAAAAAATAACTTGTCATTGGAGATCTTTTTATTTGTTATTTTTATAATGTTGAAATAAAATTATTTATTTTATTTTTATTATTTTTTGTAAATAATAATAATATTATTAGTTTGAAAACAATAAGTACTTAACCCTTGTAATCCATCTCAAGATTCCTTTAATTTTTATCTGCTGTTATACCTTACCATAAACTTGAATCACAATTTTTAATAAAAGTTTTTGTCCATTACTGAAGGCACAATTTTTATCCATGATTTATAGTGTGTTAGTCACAGATTAAATTTCTATCTCTTTCTAAAATATTTGGTTATGTATTATAATATATTTTTTTCCCAAATTAACACAAAATCTCAAAGTGGTAAGCATAATTTTTAAAAAAATTATTATATTTAGTAATTTATAGGTGCAGATAAGAATTTTGTTTACTACTGTTTATGCGGTGAAGGAACATGTCATATGTAGTTAGTATTGGGTTAAAGTGCAAAAAACAATGGGAAAAAGGTAAGGGTTTTTCTTTTTTTTGATATTATTACAATATTTAAAAGCATGTAAATAGGTAATATCATATTTAAGTAATTTTATATTTTTTGTCATGCAAGGATTTTGAAAAGCCTAAACAAAAGAGAAAAAAAAAAAGAATAATTATAATCTTCAAAGTGAATTATTCAACTCTCTACATGGACAATTTTTTTCACATGCAACAGAATGCTTTACACAAAAAAGTCAAAATTTTGAAATATAAACAAGGCATGATGACTTCTTAAAATTTTTATTTTTATTAATAGAACTGTTAAAAATTCAGTATGTTGCATTAAATATATTTTTTATTTAAAATATTTTTATATAATATATCCAAATGATAAATTAATTTTAATAAATCTATATAATGTACCTTATTGTGTTTAACTAATCTATATATTCATTACCATGTTTATGATTTTTCTTTAATTTTATATTTTTTTTGTTAAAATGAATAAAAGGAGTAGGATCCTCAGACAAGGGTTCGGTGCCGACACCACTCTTTTCAGTGTTGACACTTATACTTATTGTCCAAATCAGCTCCCAATCAAAGCAGCTACCTGTTAATTTTTTTGACGCATCAACAATTTAGTGGATCCCATAGACGGAATCCATTTACCAAATCAAGATTGACATTCAATTGAAATAATAAAATTGAAAACATGATATCTTTAAAATCTTTTTAAAGGTTATAATTTTAATTAATTCAATAAAAATTAATATTTTTAATTAAAAAAATTTTAAAAAATGATGTCTTTATACGTGTAAAATATTGTCTGCAGCGAGTTTAGACTTTTATTGGGGGTCAAAGGAGAGACTGAAGATTAAGTCAGTATTCCGATCAAACTTTAACGTATTGCAAGCTAGGTCAAAGTATCAAAAGATTACACCATACTTTACCATAAGTTTCGGGTCAATGATTCAACTGACTAATTAATAACAAAATCAAAGAATTAAACTTGCTTCTTCTTCTTTTCAGTGAGAAAGGCTCATTTCTAGAACATTCCTTTTTTATTTGAGTATTTTATAATTTAAATTACAAAATATTAATCATTAAATAAAAAATCTCTTTTAATTTAATAATTACATTTTACAATTTGAATTGAAAAACATTGTTTTTATTTTTTTATAATATTATTATGAGTACCATGTACTTATAGTTTACATGATATATATATATATATATTCCTAATAACACTTTCCCTAACCCACTTTTTAAAACATTTTTCTTATAATTAAGTCATGTGATATATAAATTTTATGTTGTTAGTACTTAATATGTAATAAAACTTATTGATATATTTAAAATTTAAAATTACAACCAATCATAGTATTATTTTGTGTTACATTACATATAATCCAATTATAAAGAGTGAATGTTATCCACAACTTAAATTGGTCAGTGATAATTTTTTTTCATTATAAGTAAAAAGTTATAAATTCAAGTCGTATGATATACGAATAAAGTGAGATAAATAATGAGAAAAGATTACTTTTTATTGTACAATCACAATAAAAAAAATAAAGAGAGAATGTTGCTTATAACAATACTCTTTAAGCCCTTTCCTGGTACGTTGAATAATATATTATACAATGAAAAAAACGTGGCTCTTTCCAAACCCCTTACCACATTGCCTAAGATTTGAAAGTATTTACATAAATATGGTGAAATGGAGGGATATGGTTATGACTACATATAAAAATATTAATAGTACACAAATTATTTTAGTTAGATTGATATTTTATTAGTTTGTAATTTGCTCTTAAATAACTAATTATTGATATCCAAAAATATCAATCTATAAATTAATTTCAATATGTTATTTAATAAATTATTAACTATTTTAAATAGTCAAAGCAAACATCATCAATATTTTTAAAGATAATATTGTGTGATCTTAACTTTATCATATGTGGCCATAACAACACCTGAATGGGAATGGTACTTCAAAATTTTGTTTCTAATTAGGTGAAAACTGGCAATACAAAACTTGTCAAGCATTCTTCCTCTCATATTTTCAGAGTGTTTAGACTAGTGGACTCTCTGCATCCACAACCAATTTGTTTTGTTTGTGAACTCCAAAAGTGAACGTCAAAGTTATTTAAATTTTCCATTGAAAATATGAATGATTTTCCAAAATTTCTCAGGTATTATCTGTCAAAGAAGTGCAACTAATTAGACAGACTTTGAAATTTATATCAGTCAATTAATGGTGTCTAATTCATGTGGGCATTTTTCTTTTTTGCAAGTTCATTTAGGAATTAAATCAAACCATCTTTTAATTTAAGTTTATAGTGACAAACATGTGCATTATGTACATTTGGATCTTCAGGTTTCTAGAGGGAGATCATTAAAAAGAAAGAAAGCAATATAGATATCACATCACATGCGACTCAAATGTAAAAAGCATTTTCCATTTATTATATAAATACACTAATTAACCATACACAAATAATTTGTAATCACATAAGCGTGATCTTCATGTGAACAAAGAGACAAAATCTTGCAAACGTTTCAAACCATACAACGTACTAGCATACAAACTCTCTAGAGGGACAAGAAAAATGATTTACACCACAATTTTACATTTTTTAAAGAAGATTTAATAATTTTTTTAAAATTTTAAATTACATAATAAAAAGTAATTCTTTTTTAATTTTTAAATTCACCTTATGTGCATGCTGTGTAATTTGAATTAAATACTTTTTATCTTTATTTTAAAGGGATGATTATTGAATTACTTAAATAAAATAATTATAAATAATCATTTTTATTCAATGGCACACTAATTACATGCATATATACTCTCTTAATGAACAGAAAGAAATGATTTAGACACAATTTTACTTCTTTTTTTTAAAGTTATTTTGATATAATAGTTATGATAAGAGTGTATTCGATTAAAGGATAATTTTTTAATGTTAATTTTTTTTTTAAAAAAGTGACAGATTAAAGTATTATACAAAAAATTAAAACATATTTTACCAAAAGTTATTAAGTTTTATAATTAAGTTTTATTAATATTTTATTAAGTTATTAATTTTGTTGTATTTGATAAAAAAATTGATATAAAAAAGTATACAAAAAGTTAATAAAAAAAGTTATAAATAGGTCTCATATAAAAAA